ACCAAGTCCTGTGCTCATTGCATGAGTTGGCTGTTTGAAACCTGGAGCTTATGCAGGGACACTTGGCTCAGGCTGGGAGGAAGGGACTGGACCTGCCTGGACTGAGTCTACCAGGTTGATCGCAGTCCTCGGGGGAGGATTTGCCCTGGAGGAGGTGGGAATGGGGGGTGAGCTGGGGTAAGGGGAGGGTGTGGGAGGGGGGAGAATAGGGGAACCCGTGGCTGATATGTAGAACTGAATGGTATTGTAAAATAAAATAAATAAAATAAAAAAAAAAAAGATTCGTGCTACAAGATGGTCCAGGAAATCTCTTTTGGCTGAATTTATCCAAGACCACAACATCATCCAGAGCTGAGTACTTTATTTCCAGACGTCCTCGATCATTCACTCAGCTTCCTGGCCTCATGAAATTTTCTCTTACAGCTGGGAACACACACTACAAAAGCAAAACCTTTTCCTCAGGAAAAAAAAAAAGTGGGGGGGGGGGAGCCTTCGGAGAAAAACTTAATCAGAAAAGTTAAGGTCTTAGAATGGAAGGAGACACTAACCCATTGGTCTTTGCTCATCTCAGAGCTGAAAACTAAAGAAACTACAGAATTAGAAGACACCCCCCGCCCGCAGCCTTTTTTTTTTTTAACTAGAGTAAAACATTTAAAAATCGCTTTGTGCCATGCGTTATGCTTCTAGTGGACATCACGACCTAGATTTTATACACTCCCCACAGAGTAGAGAAAAAACTCAAATTTTCTTTACAACCTTTACAACCTGCTGCCAAACACTTAACATTCAATGTCTCCTTCTACCGCAGCTTCACAGTCCTGCCGGACTCAACCGCACCTGCCACGTGTCTTGCACACCTATTTCCCACCTTCCAGCGTTTGTTCTGCCCTTCTCCTCCTGCCTGAGCTGTCGTTTGAGGAATTTCCGATGTGCATAGCCTATCCTTTCCCGGCAGTGGCCCTGTTCAGTGTTCATGGCCTCCCTCAAAGTCTTCTCAGAACCACTTTGTATCTTGGGCGGAGGACATTTCTACCCTCAACGTACTTTAGGTATTGCCTTGTACCTGAATCACTTCCTACCTCACAGTTTTATGTGTCTAAGCGATTTATTGGTTCTTGTTATTATCTTGCGTTCCTTCACAGCCCTTCACTTGTCCCGCCAAGGAAGCCAAAGACAGTTGTTCGCTTTGTGGCCAGAATTCCGACTCCGCTGACCAACGCCAGCTCATTATGCGGCATGACTCTCACGCTCCCCAGGTAACTAAGGTCCAGGTCTCCACTGCCGGGATGTGGATGCAGCAGCAGCAACAGCAGCAGAAGTGCGCACCAAGCTTTGGGGGGGGGCCCAGCCGCGCGCGCGCCTGCGTGCGCGTGCCCAGTGACCACGCGGAGGGCGGGTGGAGCACCGAGCGAGGAAGGAGGAGCCAGTCCGATCGCATTGGCCCCGCCCATAGCGTCCAGTATAAAGGGGCGCCCACACTCCTTCGCATATCCCAGCAGGGGCTCAGCTCTCCGAACATGTCGTCCAAGTCGTCTATGATTCTGGGTTACTGGGATATCCGCGGGGTGAGTGGCCCCTCGCCAGCCCAGCCGCTGGGACAGAGAGATGCAGGCAGCTGAGCGAGGGACCGGAGAGGCAGTGTCCGGTGCAGAGGTGGCCTCCCCGCTGTGACCAGCGTCAGCTAAGCTGCCCTCCGAGGCCTACGTCCGACCAGCCTGTGGGGTCCCCAGGCCCGTGGGGAGAGGAGGGGACGGGAGGTTTCCGGGTCAGAGCGAAGGGGCTGCTTAACGACAATTTCAACCCTCCGCCTCCCGACAGGATGCAGGGGGTTGGCCGCGTTGGGCTGGGGACGTTGACGGGCGGGAGTTGGAAGTGATTGGGAACTGCGCAGGCGTGCTGACCGGGGTCCTTCTCCATCCCCTACCTTTAGCTGGCTCATGCCATCCGCATGCTCCTGGAGTATACTGATACCAGCTATGAGGAGAAACGGTACACGTGTGGGGAAGGTAACGTCTGTGGGTGTCGGTGGCCCTCTGCACTGGGCCAAGGTGGCCCAGTCTTTCACCCAGGGAGGAACACTACACCGAGGTCGTATGGGACCCCTGCTCCAGTCAGCTGGGAACTGTGCCAAGAGAAGCTCATCCATGGGGTTCCCTCTTGCTGTCCAAGCCCATCTTAATACGTAGACTGAAGAAGCCCAAGGGTTAGGTTTTGGGGATTGGGAACTTGAGGTATCAGGACTAAGTCATTTCTCGACTAGATTGGTAAGGAGGTTGGGTCCCACTTTTCTCTTACAGCTCCTGATTATGATAGAAGCCAATGGCTGGATGTGAAATTCAAGCTAGATCTGGATTTTCCCAATGTAGGTAGCTTTGGAGGAGTGGGCAGAAGGGAAGGCCTTCTAGTTATCCATCTTTTACTTCCTCTCTGGTTTGGGAGAATCTAGAATAGAGAGGCTGGCTCTTCACCTGGAGAGAGTGGAGAGAATTCAAGGGCCATTGAACAGGAGTGAGCAACATCTTAATTCCCACTAACGACTGTCAGACATTTTCCTCTCAAAGACAGGCTACAGGAGACATTAGTTACTAGCCCGGTCTGTGACTTTGTCGCTGAGAGACATCAGGTATTTTCATATTCTTCTGAATGTGTCCCAGTATCTTAAGCATCATGGTTAGTAAATGCTCTTTAATGTATCCGTAAACACACTACTCTTACAGTTTTACTTTAAAATATAAAATATTTACAGTTTGTTTTTTGAAAGTGTTCTGAGAAAGTCCACATGCCACACATGTACATTCACACTGAGAATCAGGTGGGGACCGAGTGCTGATTTCTATTTGTTTTGTTCTTCCTCCTAGCTTCTATTACCCCATCTTTACTGCCTTGCAAATCTCTTTCCCAGAAGAGTGGAGGAGGCAAGACCAAGCTAGGTTCACTATTTCACTTTTTCCTTCCAGCTGCCCTACCTTATGGATGGGAAGAATAAGATCACCCAGAGTAATGCCATCTTGCGATACATCGCGCGCAAGCACAACATGTGTGAGTAGTTAACGCTGATGTGAGAGACAGGCAGTTTACTCACCTGGAGGTGGGCAATCCCGAGGATGATCTGTTGCCCTCTGACCTACAGGTGGCGACACTGAGGAAGAAAAGATACGAGTGGACATCATGGAGAACCAGATAATGGACTTCCGCATGCAGCTGGTTCGACTCTGCTACAATTCCGAGCATGTAAGTGTCCTTATCTGGAATCAGCTGTGTGCTAAGAATTGTTCTGCCCCCTTCTATGGTTGCCATCTTTCCATCAACCCAATCCGTAAGGATTGGAAACAGAGTGTATGGTTTGTTGTGTCGTGTAAATCTGGTGTTAGCTTCTCCTCCTTTCCAAAGCCCAGCTCGCCATCCTGCCTCCTCCAAGAGAAGGCAGTGGGAAGCTGGCTAGAGAAGGGTCTGCTGTGTCCATCAGTCGTCCAGGCCCTGACTACAGCTGTCAGCTACTCTGTGTGTGTGTGTGTGTGTGTGTGTGAGAGAGAGAGAGAGAGAGAGAGAGAGAGAGAGAGAGCAATGTGTGCAGAGATCCAAAGACAGCATTACTGTGGGACCTGGGAATCAGACTCTGGTCACCCCTGTTGAACCTTCTGGTGGATCCAACAACAGCTATTGCTCTTTTCCCCTCCCAGGAAAGCCTGAAGCCTCAGTACTTGGAACAGCTACCTTCACAGCTGAAACAATTCTCATTGTTCCTGGGGAAATTCTCATGGTTTGCCGGGGAGAAGGTAGGAAGAAGGCACAGGGAGAGGAGCCTGTCTGTCCCTGCAGGTCCTTACCGCTGACCGCCTCGGGCCTGACATTTCACTGCCCTTGTTCTAGCTTACCTTTGTGGACTTCCTCACCTATGATGTCTTAGACCAGAATCGGATGTTTGAGCCCAAGTGCCTGGATGAGTTCCCAAATCTGAAGGCTTTCATGTGCCGTTTTGAGGTGATGTTCCATCCATATCCCTTTCTCACAGAAATAAGCACAGACGCCCTACACCCTGCAGATCCCATTGTACGCTCCCAACACCTACTTCCGCCTAAAAGGATCAATGGTTAGACACCTCCAGGCTTCTAAGTCTTGGGAAGAGCCTGGCTTGCACACCCTGAAAGCAACAACTGAAAGAAATGGGTGAAGGCCGGGACAAGTGAATGTCGCTGTTTGTTGTGGGTCTACTGGGCGGGGCTAGAGTCCTAATAAGGCCTGGTGTGCTTTTCCTTCAGGCTTTGGAGAAAATTGCTGCATTCCTGCAGTGTGACCGATTCTTCAAGATGCCAATCAATAACAAGATGGCCAAGTGGGGCAATAAGTGCATATGCTGAGCGAGAAACCCGGCACTGCCCGCTTTGTCCCGTCCTGTCCCAAGGGGCCTGCATTCGGTCTTTTCTGCTCTTTCTAATAAACAGCAGTTACGTTAACTGGTGTCTAGATGGATTTCTTGTAGGGGTAAAGGCCAAAGAGTGAGGAGATGTTGAGGATGAAGGGGATATGAATCCATGCATAACTGTTGACATTCCCTTCTCAGCTGAGTTCAAGGGCCAGAAGTTACCCCAAGGCTGAGTGGGTATTGGAAGTCGAGGCATTGCCCAGTGCCAGGTGGCAGCTACTTTAAACAGACATGGAGTGCAGTGGTCCAGCCGCAGCCTAGGTTCAGGTCCTGAGACAGGGAAGGGGCTTCAGCACAGGGGAAAAAAAATGAACACTCTGGTCACCAGATGAGTTTCACACAAGTGGCTGACCCTGAATAGTTCCAGCTGCCTTTATTTATACATCGAAAACAAGCATGTCTTTCCATACTAACAAGTTTTTCCCATCCTCCAACGTTAATCTGTGGCAAAAACAAATGTGTCAAATATGTTTTCTCCCAACTTTCACATCAAGACATTTTTAAACTAAAAGCAGCACTTATCATTTTGCTAGTTTGGCCAAATATCGAGCCAGCTACATCCTGTCTTTACAAAACTAAAAGGTCATAAACATAGGCACACATTTTCAAGAATATATCTTCAAGAACAACAATTTTGTTCAAAGCATATTTACAGAAATAGGGGTGATCTGCCTCTGATCCTGTCAGCACTGAAACCCGAGAAACATCAGCTCCCAAAGAGTTTTAGGGGAAAATTATTTGAGACAAAATGGGGTTTCCAGGAATCACATCTGTCCCATACATGATTGACACAATGACATTAGAAACCACCAAGAGAATCATCAATATTACCAGAGAGAAGAGAGCGTGCAGGCTGTGTGGTCCCAGCAGTATTCTGCACTGTCCCAAACTCCACTGGTCCTTGAGTGAGACTGTCCCCATGGGCTTTTGCCTCATCTGGAGACCCGTTAGACAAGCACTCATATACTGGTCCAAACCTGGGCTGCGTGGCTCCCAACAGTGGAGTTCTTAAGAAGCTGCAAAGATAACCAAGTAAACTGTGTGGTACTGATAGACTCAACAGGAGGAACTTACAAACGACCCAGGTTGGGCAGGGGAGAGAGATTCAAGTGATAAAGGTGGCATTTCAAACTGTGGGCCTGTCAATAGAATTGGAACAGTTGGTTACTAATTAAACTTCATGCTGGGCGACAGACACTGCTAGTGAGCCTGAAGATGGATGCAGGAACCTGAGGGAATAATCAGTCTTAAAAGTCGAAGCGTATCTGGTGGCCCAATCGTTCTTCCTATGTGAGCTCACGAAAAATGTGTATATTGTATCATATAGGAACAAGTAGATGCCATGTAAATGCCCAGCAGTGCTAGGGAGTATGCCATGGCATACAGGAATGAGGGTGAAAGGTAGGTGTGGTGGCACACACAGGCAATGCCGGTGTTAGGGGGGCTGAGACAAGCAGATTCCTGGGGGTGCACTGCCCAAAGTCTAGCCAAATAATGAGTTCCTGGCCAGAAAGAAACTCTATCCAAAGGGAGAAAAAAAAGGTGGATGGCATCCTGAGGTTCTCCAGCTTCTACATGTCAGTGAACACACATGCACATGTGGACACACATGCAGGTGCAGCTTGAGTGCACACACAATAAACTGTAGGAACCAACATGGAAGGATCTCCAAGATACTTGTTGAGTTCCAAAATTAGTTTACAAATAAGGAAGCACAGGACGTCTTTTATGGTATAAAAGCATGCATTTTCCTACAGACACATTTATGTAAGTGAACACCTAAGAGCACAGAGGGACATGGCCAAGCTGACTAGGAGGCTTACTTCAGGCAAAGCTAAAAAACGACCCAGTTTCCAGAGTAGGACTTAAAGGAGATTTCAGAGATAAGCTAAGATTTCCCTTTTTAACCATGAGAATGTGTTCATGCATAACTA